GGGGCTCTGCTGCCCTGCAGCGCTGGGGCTGCTCCAGGGGTGCTGCCTGCACACCCCCCCCCACCCTGCACCCCCCCACCCTGCGCTGTCCCCGCATCCCGTCGTGCTGCTCCCTGCATCTTGTGCCCGGCCTCGGGAAGCAGCTGGGACTTAAACCCCAACGCTTCGGCTCCTGGAGCTCAGCAGAAGGGACTCTCTTAGGCAGTCTGATTTATTTATTTATTTTTTAAGTCCCTTGTTACATCAGGGGTTTCAGCTGATTTTAGTGGGGTTCCTGGCAGCCCTGGCACGCTTCTGTGCTGCCGGGCGCTGCCTGGCAGCTGCCGTGCCCGGGATAAGCCGTTGTTCCCTCGCAGGGTTGCTTTGCATAAGGGCTTGTGCCAATGTGCACCCTGTCCGGCGCTGGCCGCAGGTGTTGGCCTGCGCGAGATTCGGTCTGTGGGCAGGGGCGCGGGCAGCCCTCCGCCTCTCCTCTGAAAGCTGAAGGTCTCTCTTGGGAAAGGTCTCGAAAAGGGGCTGGTTCAGCTGGTGCAAAGATGTCTTGGAAGGCGAAAGGCGTTTATAAACCTGGGGCTTTTGAGCACAAGGAGTGTCCCAAGAGCGAGGCGAGGGATGAAAAGGTGATGGGAGAGAAACGTCATTCAGAGGGTGATCGACATATGGTGCGCACAGATGGGGAGGCTGATGGGGACGGCTGGGCGCAAGCGGCGAGGGAGCTCGGCTTCCCTCTGGGCAGGGGGAGAAAGAAACGCCAGCGTAGTAGTGGGCAGGGTTTTGGTTTGGTTTTTTTTTTTCCCCTTCTTTAAGAGGAAAAAAGCTGTAAATCGTGGCAACCCTTGGAAGGACGAGTGCAAGGTTTGATTTTTCCATCTCAGGCTCTGCCTGTGACACAGCCCCACCTCTGGGAATGACTGGGGGCCAGCTGGTGCCCTGCCCTTCTCGAAGCCACCGCAGAGCCCTGCTTGTTGTGTCTGTTCACCTCCTTCTCGGGTAGGATGCCAGAGCAGGGGCTGATGCACTCCTGTCCTCTCCTTCCCTCCCCAGAACTCCTCGGAGATGCCGGAGACCATTACCAGCCGAGACGCTGCTCGTTTTCCCATTGTTGCCAGTTGCACCCTTCTGGGGCTCTACCTCTTCTTTAAAGTAAGTGAGCGATGCCGGCGGGTGCTGGTGCCCACCATCCTCCCAGCCTGGTCAGGAGCTCCCAAAGTGGGACTGACTCCATTTTTGGCCTACCCTAGTTGGGGGCCCTTAGTGTTGGGCCAGAAAGTGTGTAAGGCTGCACGGCTCGAGCTCTTCGATGTCACCACGCAGGAGGACGTCAGTTCTCACCCGAACTGTAAGAGCTTGGGGTAAATCGGAGCCTGGTTGTGCACGGTTCTGGAGAGCTGCCGAGGGGTGAGTTCACCACTGAGCTCTGCCTGCCTCTGTGGGCTGACCTGATGGTGTGCGGTCTGAAACCAGAGGCTGCCAGGGAATGCTGAGTTGCAAATGCTGCTGTCTGTGCTGTGCTCCGTGCTGTGCTCCCAAAGCCATCTCGGCTGCAGGTCTGGGGGATTGCGAGTGCATGGGCAAGCCCCTGTGTGTTCAGATGAAGTCTTTTAGATGTGCAGAGCCAACGAGCAGAGTATTCTGCCCGTTCCTGAGTCACAGGTAGGAGATCCCAGCGGCAGGTGCCTTCGGCTCTGTGGAGGGGGTGTCTTGGCTTAAAGCACCTTTGTCTGCCCATGCACAACTGCGTGTGGCTGAGCTCCTGACGATCCATGGGGCTGCCAGTGCAGAGCGGTCCCGTCGGCACAGCAGCTTCCAGCCCTGCTGTCCCAGGCTGCCTGTGAGGTTGGAGGGTGCTCCTGGCTGGCCCGGTGAGGTTTAATCTGCAAAACTGGGAATATTTCAGTTTACGGTCCCTTCCCTGCCCATTGCAGTTACTGCTCAGCAGCCAATTGCTGCTGCAGGCTCCTGCCCTGTGTCGAGTGGCTGCATGGGCTGACGGCCGCACCGTGCAGGACCTTACCCTGACATGGGCCTGGGCGCCAGCCCGTGCTGCAGCTGCACTGGGAAGGCGAGTGTGTGCCACAGCCTGCACAGCCATGGAGGTCAGCTCTGCAGCAGCAGGCAGGATCAGGCCATGTGCCCTGCTGTCCCAGCACTGAAGTTTAGCCTGTGCGCCTGCTGGGGCTGCAGCTCCCCTTGTAGGTCACCAGTAGTAAAGCTGAGCATCTGCTGAGCCTCTCCTGACAGTGAGGTATGGAGTGGGCACCAGACCCTGCCACTGGGCCCCACTGGCCACTGAAAGGACCCCCTGCAGCCCACCCCTTCCCTGTGGCCTTCATCTCAGGGTACTCCTCCACCTCCTCAGGTGCTTTTTCTACCTCTTGCTCCTGGCTGGGATGGAGACACCAGGAAAAGAAGTGCTGAATGTGCAGTGTGGCCCTGCTGAAGTCGCTGCGTAATCTGCAGCTTTTCCTTTTAATATCTGCATCCTGCCGTGAGCTCTCTTATTCCAGCATCCCCCTTCCAGGAGAGCACGGAGGACCCTGAGGTCCCCCCATGCGGGGCTGTAGGGGTGTGATTCGGCAGTAAGGCAGCGTGTGCATTGGAGGGCAGGATTTCTAATAATACCCTGTTTAATTAGGGCAGGACACGCTCAGCCCGCTGCAGTAGCGAGGCGGGGGTGCTGCTGCTCCCCTCTGCCGGGGCAGCCCCCAGGAGCAGCGTGGTGCCTCGCTCCCTGCTCCGGCTCGCTCTGCAGGGGACGTGCAGGGGAAGCTCTCTTCTTTCTGCAGCGCAGGAGTTATTTTTTGACCTGAGCACCTCGTAGATGTGCAGTGACTCTCAGACCCGTTGTGCTTGTTCTGTGAGCACGCGGCTGTTCCCAACATTTTTCACATCAGTGGTGCAAGAATTTGGGTTATTCCAGCTATTCTTCTCGTCTCCCTGGAGCACTGACACCGCAGCTGCCGATCCAAGGTGAAGCACTTCCCCCTGCTTTAGATGGGGAGGACGCTGCAGTAACTGCCCCCTCTCTGGATTTGTCTTGCAGATATTCTCTCAAGAGTACATCAATCTTCTGCTTTCCATGTATTTCTTTGTGCTGGGGATCCTGGCCCTGTCCCACACCATCAGGTACAGCAGAGGGAAGGGTGCAACTGGGGCGGGGATGTCCGAGGCTGCCCGCTCTGCGAGGCAGCAAGGTGTTGAGTTTAGTGGGGGGTTTCTAGAGCACCATTGCCTTGAGGCAGAGCCAAGTCCCAGCTCGCAGGGTGTTTTGCCTTGGTGGTGTGAAGGGCTCTCCAGGGAGGCAGGCCCAGAGCATGGTGTGGACCCTTCCTCATGGGGCAGCCAAGGGCAGAACCGAAGTCTCGGGGGCTCCCAGCAATCTGGTACCCCACACAGCATCACCGGGAGAGCTTGTGGAGGCGTGGGTGGCCACTGTTGTAGGAGCCACGATGGGCTGGCACAGTCCTCACTGCCCTGTGGAGGGGAGAGCTCCTCGGCACCCGTCTTCCTCTTACTGGGATGGCTGAATCAGGCAGCTGAAGCTCACAGTAACGTCCCCAGCCTCTCGTGCTGATGCTTGGCGCAAGGTGTTGAAAGCTCAGGCTGTTTCAAGTAACTGAAAAAGTAAAACTGGTTTCCTGTTTCCTGAGCTCTAGGGCTTTGGGGACCAGATGCTTTCCCTGGAGTGGCGCTGTGGCAAGGGCTTCCCCCACTCTGCAGGAGGGCAGTTTGGTGGTGGCACAACCAGTTCTGGGTGTGCAGTACCGGGCAGATCAGACCTCTGGGGAGGATGAGGTCCCCTGTCTGTGGCCTGGGGACTGAAGCTGGGGCTCCTGCCCGTCCCTGACGTGGCAAAACCTGGCGTTTCCCTGTCTCTGGAGGGCGTGTGGGCCAACGTCGGTGCTGTGATGCCATCATGCAGAGGTGCGGGGCAGCGCATCCAGCGGGGTTTCTCTCTTAACTGGCCTTCTCTGCACCTCTTGTTTCAGCCCCACGATGAACAGATTCTTCCCTGCAAATTTCCCCAACAAACAGTACCAGCTCCTCTTCACCCAGGGCTCTGGGGAGAGCAAGGAGGGTATGTTGGCTTGCCGGTCTCTCTGGAGGGCCTGAAAGTTTTCTACCTTCACTATTCTGTTTCTTGCTCACTTGGCATTTTGACTTTCAGCCCAGTGAAACAGCCTTCTCAAAGACTTGCCTCTTGCTCCCTGCCATGCGTCTGTAGCCAGCCTGAGCCCCTGTGTCCCTGCAGCGCTGGGGCTGCCGTGTGCGTCTTCATGCACCGGTGGATGCTCTCCCTCTGTGCTGCCCAGAAACAGATCCCAGAGTGCTACAGGAACGGAGCTCTGGCTGCTGCTCAATGCGCTGCTGTTATTTAAGCTCCTTGGGGAGCACAGTACTGACTTTTTTGTGCTGCCTTAACTGATCTGATTCAAATCTTTGCACTGGTAGAAGATGCTTTGATAAGTATCCTGGCCAGTGGCTTTACTGGTAAGGGGTACTTCTTCTAGCAATACCACCAGGAATTAACTGGTGCGGGAAGAGGGAGAAGATGTGCCTCTCCCTGTCTCAGACAGTGCCTGAATCCAATTTCCGTACTGACAGAAGGATCGCAGATGCTGTCCATGTGGCAGAGTCTGGCTGAAGGCGAAGGTCTGGGCTTGCCAGGGCCGGCGGCTCGCTCGCATGCAGTTTGCTCGTGTTTACCATGGGCATGGCCATTTCTGTGGGTACCGTCCCCTCGTCTGGGGTGTGAGCGCTGTGGTCTGTCTTGCTCCCAGCTGTAAAGTCACATGTCTCTGCCCTCTGTGGGAAGGGGAGCTGCCCGGGCTGCCCAAAATCTGACTTCTCTGTTTTATTGCAGAAATAGTGAATTACGAGTTTGACACCAAGGATCTCGTATGCCTGGCCCTGAGCAGTGTTGTGGGGGTCTGGTACCTGCTGAGAAAGGTAAGCGGGCGGCAGCCCTGTTGCGGGGAGGCCAGGGACCGGGCTGGATCAGACCTGGGCCCCTTTCCACGCAAGGCCTCTGCAGGCTGAGGCCCTGGCTCAGCACGTGCGGTGGGACCCAAATCTGCTTTTCCTGTTGTTCTCAGCACTGGATTGCCAACAATCTCTTCGGGCTGGCGTTCTCCCTCAACGGGGTGGAGCTGCTGCACTTGAACAACGTCAGCACTGGCTGTATCTTGCTTGGGGGCCTCTTCATCTACGACGTCTTCTGGGTAAACGGGAGCGTTCCCCGGGGCGGACGCGAGTTGCAGCCGTTGGCAGAAGGCATGTGCGTGGCGTTATGCCTCTTCGGAGGCAGCACGCTGGCTGCACACACGTTTGCAGTCAGGATTTCCGCTTTCTCAGCCCAAAGGGGTGTGGTGGGGATGATGATGGAATCAAACAGTGGCAGAACATGGCTCAGCGAATGCATTTTCTTTTAATCTCTGGCTTAGAAAGCCCAGGGCTGTTTTGGGGTACTGGGCTGTGCAGCATACCCAGTTCTGGTGACCGGTATTCCCAGCGGAGGTCTTCCCAATGCCCGACAGAGCTGTGGGGTGGGCTGGAGGATGAGGCTGCTCTGGGCTATGCTGATCCTGCTTGTATGGGCTGTGCCTCAGCTCTGTCATCTGCTGGCTTCGTTAGCATCCTTCTGTTCTCTTGCACGGAGGACCAGATACTGGAATGCCTCCAGTCTCCTTCCCTCAGATGATGCAGCACCCCAACACCTTCATTTTGAGGTTTTCCTTATCTCTCTGCGATGGACCCCTGTTTCTCCTCGTGGTGTCTGTATTCCCCAGTCCCTGCTGCCTCCACCTTCTGAATTACTGGGTTTCCAAATGTCTGAGAGCCTTGTATACCTTGAGGTCTGTCCAGCAGCTCTGCAGCTGCCTGAGTAATCCTTCCCTATTTAAGCCTGGCTACTGTGTGTTATTTTGTACTTGGCCGGTGCTGCCCCTGTTTCGTAGGCTCGTTAACAGTCTCAGCTCTGTGGTTCGTTAGCCCCTGTGCCACTTCCTCCGCTGCTCTCAGCTGGAGAGGATTCAGCCTTCTGGCTTAGCACAGCCAGTGCCTCGTGCCCCGCTCGCCGTGCGAGTGCCTCCCCTGTGCAACCCTGGCTGCTCTCCGCTTGCTGGCTGTTTCCCGCCTCGGCTTCCCTGGCAGGTTTTGCTGGAGCCTCACGGAAAGGATGTCTTGAAGTGGCGACCTTCTTACTGTGCCCCTCTGCGGGGACCGGTCACTTGGATCTTAGCACAGATTTAATCACAGTGAGACCCAAGGAGGGTTTCAAGGAGGAAGGATTGCCGCTCAGTGGATCACTGATATGGCCCCCGGCGTAGTCTCGGGCTGAATTTGCCTGTGACGCCTTTCCCTGGTCCCAGTATGGAGTTCTGTCTCTCTGTGGTGATGCCCAGAGCTTGCTGCACCTAATGGGAGTTAATCTGATGCCCAGTGCTTGCTTTAAGGTTTCCCTTTGATCCCTGGCTCTAGGATCTTGCTCACCGGGTGCTAACCAGCTCCTGGTTTAGGTGCCCGCTGCTGGCATAGCGGGGACCGGAGGCTGAGAGATGAAAAGGAACAGAAATAAAGGTGGTTTGCCCTATATGTTTACACTCCGTCCCCCAAACGATGCCAGTATTTCAAGCTGATAGTGCAGTAAAAATAAATGACCTCAGAGCAAAATGCAGCTGATCTGACAATTGCTGCGGCCCCCGTTGGAAGCTCACGGGCAGCAGCCTGGCCCTGGCTGGGACTCTCCGCTGGGAGCTCTTGCCCTCGGATCACATTCTGCGCGGCGGTCAGGCCTGCTGCTGAGTTGACTAATGAGAGCTGAGCCGCCCTGCAGGGGTAGGTGCTGGGGAAGGCCGGGTGGTGGGCAGCACCGTGGCTCCGTGATGCGAGCGGCCTCCCCGGCGCCGCTCTGAAAGCAGGACGGCCGTGACGTGCTCACCTCCTCGAGCGCTGTCCATGCCTCCTCCCCTGGGCGGTGGGCTCACTTGCAGGACTCCTCTGCCTGCGGTTTGGTGGCTCTTTGGCCATTTGCTGCCACTGGGGCTGCTCCGGGCCCTGAGGTGAGGCTGTAGCTGAGCGTGTGCTTGTCCCTGTGCAGCTTTGATCACCTCGGACTTCTGTTTGCCTCTAGGTCTTTGGCACCAATGTGATGGTGACGGTTGCCAAATCGTTTGAGGCCCCCATAAAACGTGAGTAGATCTTCCCCGTGTGCTGGAGGGAGGGGCCGTCCGTTCTGCTGTGGTCACTTCCCCTGCCCCCCCCCCCCGTGTACCCTCTGCCTTCTGGAGGTGGCTCAGAAGGTGGGATGTGTGCAGGAAGGCTTCCTGACCCCTTAGGCTGCTCCCTGGTGCCATGGACCTGCAGGGAGCCAGGCCAGGTCTCTGGAGGGGGATGGTTTGCAGAGCCCTGAGCTGGCTGGGTTAGTATGCACCCCCAGAGTGGGCAATTTCACCATTTAAAAAAAAAAAAGTGCAAAAAGCCCCAAGCTCCAAAAAATCAAAACCTCCAAAGAAAACAGCAGGAGGGGTAAATTTTGCTGTTGTGGAGAATGCAGTGGTTTGGGCCTTGGGAGCTGGGGCTGAAACCTGCACATGGGGCTGGCCCCAAACCTCTCGGTTTCCCATCCCAGGGTTGTCCCAGGAGGGGGAAGGAGGGAGCTGCAGAGGAGGAGAGGGCCGAGGGCAGGAACAGGGGTCTTGCCCTGCTCTGGTCCATTTTTGGCAGGCACAGCGGTGCTGAGGTCTGCTCAGCACAGACCCTCCCCCCCTCACTCTTCCTCTCTTTACTCCTCGCAGTGGTTTTCCCTCAGGACCTGCTGGAGAAGGGACTGGAGGCCGACAACTTTGCCATGCTGGGTCTGGGAGACATTGTCATTCCGGGTAAGGACAGAAGAGGGGGTACGTGACCGGGATCGCCTGTCTGAAGGGGCGGCGGGGAACTGAGTGGGAGCTGAGTGGGTGCCTCCCTCTACCTTTAGCCATGCCAGAGCCCTGCGGGGTGCTGCTGTGGGTCCTGCCCTGCCTCTCTCAGCCTTCCCCACCACCTCCGTCCCCTCACTGTCCCCTTCTCCCCGCAGGCATCTTCATTGCCTTGCTGCTGCGGTTTGACATCAGGTGAGTGGGCGGCAGGGAAGGGTCTCTGGCAGGTTGGATCTTGCAGCATATTTGAGCTGCTTTTGTAGAGGAAGAAGAGGAAGGGGAAGCCAGGAGCACAGTCGTGTGCTCCCCTCCGGGGCTTGGCGTGGGGACCTGGGAGAGCGGATGGGACGGGGGCGGGGGGTGCAAGGGGAAGCTCTTGGAAGAGCAGATGTGAGCAGGGCTGGCTTTGTGGGTAAGTCCTGAGCACTGGGGGTGAGTTGTTTGAGCTGACGGGCATTGGTGTACACACAGCGGGGGCGGGGGCCAGGGCAGCAGCACATAACAGCCCCCCAGAGCCCCACCAGCTTCCCTGGCACCGAGGAGGAGAGGGCAGTGCTGCTGGCAGCAAGGGGAAGCAGCAACAACATGGGAAAGAGCCAGGGGTGCTGGCACCTGGGAAGTGCTCATATGAGTATAGATAAGTGCCCAGCAGTGCTGGCTGCCTCTGGGATGCCACTGACATTTGGGGAAGCAGCCCCTTCCCACGCAGGGAAGCTGCACCTACCGCCGAGGTGTAGCTTTCAGCAGTTGCCCCACACCGAAAGTCTCCAGCTGGGGAGCTGCTGGGAACAGGCCGCTTCCTGCGACTGCGGTGGTGTGGCCCTGCTCCCTCTGGTCTGTGCCAGCTCTTCCAGGTGTTTCCACCCACATCCTGCCTGCACCTGCTGGGAATCCCAGTTCCCGCAGCCTGCCCTGTGATAAAACAGCACATGCTGAGAGCGGCGTGCCAGGGACCGGCCATGCCTCCCCCGAGAAGGTGGGACCCTCTCCCTGGGTCCCAGCACCGATTCCTGCCCCCCAGTAGCCGTCCAGCAGGAGGATCGTGCACCTCCTTCCCTTCCCCAGCCCCTCACCCGGGTGTCACAGACTGGGGGCTGCGGCCACTGGCATCCCCGAGGCCACGTGGTTTTTTTTTACAGCTTGAAGAAGAACACACACATGTATTTTTACACCAGCTTTGTGGCTTACATCTTCGGGCTGGGCCTGACCATATTCATCATGCACATCTTCAAGCACGCCCAGGTGAGCTCTGCCATGCTGCCTCCTGCAGATGCACGTCCCGAGCGGGAGATGCCAGCTTGGCCACGAGGTCCCTGCATCATGCCAGGAAAAAGTAGATGGATGCGTTCTTTCTCTCGGCTTTACTTTTCCAGTGCCTGCCTGTACCTTTCCCTGCCCAAAGCTTGTGTGCGTGGCTGGAGCAGAGTCCTGTTTGGGGCAAGGCTGCTTCAGGCAGCTGCGTTTCCAACAAAAGCACCTCAGCTGGGCTGCCCTGGGGTTTTGTGGCTCTTGGCAACCAGGCTGCCCCTGCAGATCCACCCTCCGTGCTGTGGAGGGGCCCTGCGAGCCCCCGCACCACGGGTGCTGTCTGCACAGGGGCCCTTGGTGTGTTTGTGGCCCGCTGGGACCTCATGGTGAGGGTTTTGTGCTGCTGCAGCTGTAACTTGGCTCTTGAAGCCACTTTCTGGGGCATTAACCCTCTGCAGGGCTGTAACAGATGCCACGGGTGCAGAGGGGACAGCTCGCCTCGCACTCCTCCCGAGGGGTGATTTGTGGTTTGGTTTAACAGTTGTTTTTCTTCCCAACAGCCTGCTCTTCTGTACCTGGTCCCTGCATGCATCGGATTCCCGCTTCTTGTGGCCTTGGCAAAGGGAGAAGTAACTGAAATGTTCAGGTGAGCGTCAGCTGGGGACGGAGCTGTTTTGCCTGCGGCGCATGGAGCGCATGAAGCGTGCAGATGCTCCCACGCCTGGGCACAGCTGGAGGGACGGGTTCATCTGGGCACGCTCTGGGGGTGCGGGTGCACGTGCGTGGGTGGAGGGAGTGGGTCTGTGTTTGTACACGCCGGCCCTGGCTCCAGCCACCTCCTCGTAGCCGGCTGGGAGCTTTGGTGCCGTACCAACAGGCAGAGGCAGCATCTGGTATTGCTTTACGCCCTGGTGACAAACTCTTCCCGTGCGCTGGCAGGCAGGGGAGGGTGGGACTGCACACCTGGTGCCGAGATACTTGGTCATTGTGTCCCAGGGCCTGTGGGTGGGGGAGAACGGAGCCGGATCCGGCTGCGAGAGCGGCCAGGGCTGGTTCGAGTACATCCCTGCCTCCCCGCTCAGGTGAAGTATCCTGGTTTGCAGCAGTCTCCCTGCCCCAGGGACTGTGGGTGCAGAGAAAAAGGGGTCAGTGCACTCGGCCTGCCGCGCTCCAGGCGTTTGCTGTTCGCTGTTGGCGGGCAGCTTTGGTCTCCTGCCTGGACTGTGCCCCCTGTGTGGCCTGGCCCACCTGGGAGCTGTTTCTCCGCTGTGCTTGGCCGGTTGTGCTCGAGGCTCGGTGGTCGCCCAGTGCAGTTGCTTGTTTGAGGACGGCTGAAGCAGAGGAGGGAAGGGAACGTATGTCCTACAGCGGGGCCGTGCACCCCCCAGCCTTGGGAGTGCCCCTGCCCATGGGGGCCTCCCCAAGCCCCCAGCCCTCTCAGAGGGAAACCAGCACCCAACTGGGGCGCAGCGGGGAG